TGGACTTGGCCATTTGGTTCTTTTGGGTGTTCATCTCATTTATCTCTCCTCTGAGTGTGTCTATTATGGCCAGATGCTCTCTCTTTTCAGCTTCTAACTCCTTGATGAGTTGCTTTCCTTGCTGATATAGCTTAGTACTTCTAGTGTGAAACTTTTGATATGAGGCTGTAAGTTCCTCAAAGGTCACTCCCTCTTCACTTGAGTCACCATCAGAATTACACACACTATTAAGAGCAGTGACATGTTTAGCTGATTCTTCTTCTGATTCACTGTCAGAATCAGTCCATGTGATAGTCAGGCCTTTTCCCTTCTTTTTGAGGTATGTTGGACATTCCTTTCTGATGTGTCCATATCCCTCACATTCATTGCACTGAACACCTTTTCCTTGGCTGACTTTATCTTCAGATTTTCCTTGATCAGCAGGCATGCTTTTGGAGTAAGGTTTAGACTTAGCATCTATCCTTTTGACCAGCTGGTTGAACTGTTTTCCAAGCATGGCTATTGCCTCTGACAGATCCTCCTATTTCTCATCATCTAAACCATCAGCACTGTTTGAGACAATAGCTATATTTTTGCTCTTTTTCTCCACAACTTGATCACACATTCTCATCTCAAAGGTTTGGAGTGAACCAATCAGTTCATCCACCTTCATGTGGCATATGTCTTGAGCTTCTTCAATAGCTGTTACTTTCATTGCAAACCTTTTAGGTAATGACCTTAGGATCTTTCTTACCAGCTTTTCTTCAGCCATTTTTTCTCCCAAAGCTCCTGAGGTGTTGGCTAGTTCAAGAACATTCATGTAGAAGTCATGAATGGTCTCCTCTTCCTTCATCTTTAGACTTTCAAATTTTATGGTCAACATTTGAAGTCTTGACATCTTGACCTTGGAAGTTCCTTCATGAGTGGTTCTGAGAGTATCCCAAACATCCTTTGCTAGTTCACAGTGGTGTACCAGCCTGAAGATGTTTTTATCTATGCCATTGAAGAGAGCATTCAAGGCTTTAGAATTTCCAAGAGCCAATGCTTCTTGCTCTTTGGTCCATTCATCTTCAGGGATTTGCACAGATGTTCCATCCTTGTCAGTCTTTACAAGATGTGTCCAACCAGAGTTTGCAGCTCTCCAAGCCTTGCTGTCTAAGGACCTTAGGAATGCAATCATCCTAGGCTTCCAATAGTCATAGTTAAATCCATCCAGAATTGGAGGTCTATTTGTGAATCCTATGTCTTTATCCATATCACCAGAATTTGATTTCCCTAGATCTCACCCAGATTAAACAGGCAGGGTGCCTGCTCTGATGCCAATTGAAAATTCTGGCCTACCACACAATGAATGTTACTGTCAAGGTTATAAAATCCACTGTGACATTGACTACAACAGTGACTATTTTGACAATTATTAAAGCAGTAAATAACACAGCAGTTGTTCACCCAGTTCAGTGTCAACAACACTTACATCTGGGGGCTACCAAGCCAGGGAGGAAATTCACTATTAGCAGTATCAATTCAGAGTTAAACCTCCAGTTTACACTCCTCACTTAATCACTATCCAATGACACTTCAGCCTAGAGACTCTCTAGTATCAGAGTATACCCACTCACTCCCCCTCAATCACACAACAGTGATATTAAACAATTACATAATTCAGTTTTGAAGAGACACTCCAAAACACACACCTTGATCTTGCTTCACAACTTTGAGCAAGACACTTCACTCTTGCTTCACAGCTTCGAGTGAAACTCTGCCTAGAAACTACCTAGCCACAGCAACCAACAGTTGCTTGGATTACAAGTATTTCTAAGACTCAAACGTGAAGAATAAACTCCTCACTTCTAAATCACTATGGTGATTTCTCTGCTCTCGACTCTTACTGCACACTTGCTGGTCTTCTATCTGTAAGAGCTGCAATTCTAGGATTGCTACTTCTGTATTTATAGCAGCTTCAGTCCTTTAGGACTTGGTGCATAAATTAGGTTTTATCCACAATAAAACCTCTCTTCAGCAATCTGCACGTTTGCCACTTTAAACAGGTCCATATTTGATCCCCTAGGGCGTCTAAAATATCTCCCGCATTCCAGCTTGAGCTTCTGGTTTGTTTCCTGTGTTTCAGCTACCAGAATAATAAACCTGTGCTCGATGTCGCACGACCCATGTTATGACATCCAGTTGTGACATTCAACTTAACTTATAGTTAGCTATTAAACTTATCTTGCACAGTCCATTTAATGAATGCAGAAACATCTAACATGACATTCATACATAGACTAATATTATGCCACAAAATGCAGCCAACCAAGAGCACTTACAGAATGATATGCATGAGAATAGTCTATGCAACGGTTCTTGATGATCTATCAAGTGCTTTTATTGTGGGAGGTGGAAGAGTTGAGGTTAGGGTGTAGGCCATAAAGACGTGATTCCCCAACACCTACTTCAGGATCAACAGTTGTTGATGCACCATTGCTCTTGCCTCAAAATAGAGAGAGCTTGTACTTTGGTAGCTTGTCTCTGCCCTAGTCTGTTGAGTATTTGCATGGATTGCCCCTGTCAAAAGTTAGGAAGTAGTTGTGTCATAGGATGATTATGATTTCACTTTCCCCATTGTCTTGGAACTGTATGCCTCTGATTAATCTTCTCTTATAGAGGTTTACTTCTTGTGCTCTTAAGGTGGCTTGCTCCAATATGAGCCTTGAGGTGATTTTAACCATGGATGAATGATCTTTAGAGGAATGCCCCTGACTAACTGATCTTTGAGAGATTTGTCGAAAATTCTAGAAGTCCACCTTGATCATATCTCTCCTTCTTTCTTCCCGGATCCTGATATAGATTTGGCTTGGAGGCAGCAGTAACCAAACATCAATAGCCGTGTCTAATGAATTAAATAAAAATAATTGTAAAAGAAAAACTTTAAAATGACTCTTTTTTGCGTTTGAATAGCCTCGGTTTTGTCAAGGCTAGTTAGCCTCGGTGTCGGTGGCCGAGGCTAAACTCGCAGCTAAAATAAAGTTTTCTAGTAGTGATTCATCTGATAACCATAAGCACAAGGGACAAACTCTAATCCATGATCTTTGCATCTTCCATTGAAACAAACCTGCGAAAAAAGTGAAAACCCTAATACATTATGTAAACCCTAATTCTCCATGACCTCTGATCCCAATGACAAGCCTTGAAGTTAATGAATGCATAATGTGTTTAATAACCTAATAAAGTGTATGTACACGAGGAACATAATATGCATAAACTATAAGATTTGAATGAAAAAGTATGACAAATTTGAGGTATGACTAGGAAAAGAACATATTATTAACTTTTTTTTCAAATTAGAAAATAGAATAATTATATTAAATTATTTTTAATACATATTAAATTCTCTCTGATCACTATTAAAAGTAAATATTTATTTTTCAAATTTATTAAATAACTATTTATATTTAAGACCAAATACATCATTTAATAAATTTTAAACATAGAAAATTGATTACAAAGAATATTTAAAATAGTTATATTATATATTATAATATGAATTAAAAAAATACTTTTGACTTAGAATACATGTCTGTATAAAATATAATTCTTTTATAATAATATTTTAAATATGCATTCAATTAAATTATTTAACAATACACTTTTTAAAAATATCTAAAAATATTTATGTGACATAATTTAATTAAATATACATATAAAAGAAAATATTTCACATAAATTAGTCCATCAATCACATCCTTTAACGTAGAGGTGACAATTGGATTCATTAAGATAAAATCTATTCAATCCATCTATCAAAAAATTCATCCAATCTATCCGCCAAATAAAAAGTAAGTTAATGGATTAGATGGATTATGAATTGATTCAATCCATCCAATATATTTTAAGAATTCAATGAATTATTTTTATTTTTGTTAGATTTATTTATAAAAAAAATTAAAAATAAATTGTTTTAAAAAAAAGAATTAATTTTTTTCCAAAAAATATCCGAAGCTTTTCCAAAAAAACAAATCTTTTTTCAAGAAAAAAAAGTCAATTTTTTTTTTGAAAAAAAAAACAATTTTTTTCATAAATAAAAAACCAAAATTTTTAAAAATAATAAACCAATTTTTTCTGTAAAAAAACAACTTTTTTTTTATAAAAAAAACCAATCGAATTCATCCATCCATTTTTTCTTCAAAAATAAATAAAAAAATACATTTATCTTTTTGAAATAAAAAAAAAACTGAATAAAAGAATATTCATCCATTAAAAATATATTAATTGATGAATTAGATGAATTTTATTTTTAACGGTTAATAACTTAATAGATTATTTTGATTCATCCATTAACAATCGAATTCATCCATCCATTTTATCACTTCTACCTTGAAGATAGCTTAAAAAAACAATTTCAACCATCTAAAATTAAAAATCCGAATTCATCCATCTATTTTATCACTTCTACCTTGAAGATAGTTTAAAAAACAGTTTCAACCATCTAAAATTAAAAATCCAAAACAAACATTTTCCAGTTTTAGCACCGTTTCTAAAAATAAAAAAAGAATAATGCTAAATTAAAGAATATTATTTTAGAAATTATGTACAAATTTTAATTAAAATATAAAATTAATTTTTAAATTGTTTTTTCTAATACAAATTTATTATAAATAAAACTCTTGCTTCAAAAGAACAAGTTAGTATTATCTATAAAAAAAATTAGCAGCAAAAAGAAGGAGCGTGGTGCGTGAGCGCGTACGTCAGTCCAGTCCCGTGGTTAGCACGTGACTGCGCACGCTCACACAAAAAAAGACAAAACCAATTTTGCCTTCGCCTTTTGAGTCAATCGAACAATACAATTTTCATTTCACTGCTAGTGCTAGATTGGAGTATACTGTATAAAATTGTGTTAATGTTAATTGAATACTCATAAGCAGATATTATTTGCGTAAGAAGAATCTAATACTAGCACTCACTCACACACACTGTGCTCACTCTTTCTCAGAAACGACGCTACCGAAAACCCTGTTCTCTGCCTCATGACGACGTCGTTCGCAGCAGCGGCGCTCAGAGACCCTAAGCTTCAGATCCCGACCTACCATGGCTTTCGGTCTTCATCCACCGCATCTTCCCTCTCTCGCAATGCTCTCTCCGTCCCTTCATCCACTCGCTCCTCCTCCCTCATACGCGCTGTTTCCACTGTTCGTATTCATCTTCTCACCTTTCGCTTTCCTTTTTAAGCTTCTTCAATTAATCTCTGATTATTAATTATCCACTTTCGTTTATTGAATTGACAGCTCCGTTAATTATATTTTTTAAATTCATGTAATGTTCTTTAATTTTATATTTTGTATAATTAATTATAGGTAACTAGATTTTGAATTGTGGAATTTGAATTTCATTTTCATGAGTTTGTTATGAATTTGTTCTTAAGTTGTTGTTGTTGTTGATGATATGATGCTGTGGTTGGATTTTTATTTCTTTGTAGCCTGCAAAGTCTGAAACTGCTACTGAGAAGAAGAGAAGCAAAGTTGAGATATTCAAGGAACAGAGCAATTTCATAAGGGATCCTCTTAACGAGGATATGTCGAATGATGCGCCGAATTTAAGCGAGGCGGGAACACAGTTGATCAAGTTTCATGGTAGTTATCAACAGTACAACAGAGATGAGCGTGGTTCGAGAACCAATTCGTTTATGATACGAACGAAGAATCCTTGTGGTAAAGTTTCAAACCAGCTTTACTTGACTATGGATGATCTTGCTGATCAGTTTGGAATTGGGACCCTACGTTTGACTACTAGACAAACGTTTCAGCTGCATGGTGTTGTTAAGAAGGATCTTAAAATGGTTATGGGTGCTATTATTAGAAATATGGGCTCGAGTCTCGGTGCCTGTGGTGATCTTGATCGGAATGTGCTGGCTCCTGCTGCTCCTATTGTGAGGAAAGATTATCTCTTTGCTCAAGAAACAGCAGAGAATATTGCTGCACTTTTGACTCCTCAATCTGGTTTTTACTATGATGTTTGGGTAGATGGGGAAAGTTTTAAGTCAGCAGAACCGCCTGAGGTAGTTCAGGCACGAAATGACAATTCTCATGGTACAAACTTCACAGATTCACCTGAGCCCATTTATGGAACTCAGTTCTTGCCGAGGAAATTCAAAATTGCAGTTACTGTGCCGACCGATAACTCCGTGGATATTCTCACAAATGATATTGGTGTTGTTGTTGTTACTGGTGATGGTGGGGAGCCTCAAGGATTCAATCTTTATGTAAGACTTATTTAAATGGCAATTCATTTAAAGTTTTTTCTGCCATCAGTCTAACTGGGATTTTGCAATCATTTTTGCAGGTTGGTGGGGGGATGGGAAGAACACATGGGATGGAAATCACTTTTCCCCGCTTGGCTGAACCATTGGGTTACGTGCCAAAAGAGGATATTTTGTATGCAGTGAAAGCAATTGTCGTTACACAACGAGAAAATGGGAGAAGAGATGACCGCAGGTATAGTAGAATGAAATATCTGATTGACTCTTGGGGAATAGATAAGTTCAGAAATGTAGTTGAGCAATATTATGGCAAGAAGTTCGAACCCTTCCGCAGCTTGCCAGAATGGGAATTTAAAAGTTATCTTGGGTGGCATCAGCAGGTTGGTTCTCCAGACGAGTGAATAGTATCAATGTGTTTATGCTTGCTTGTAGGTATACTATTATTGTTTGGTGATGCGCTCCATTCGTAGTTACATAAACTTCCATGCGATTAGAAAGTTGGTGGATAGGCTTTTGACATTTTTAATGTCTTTTCATGGATTTAATAGCTGATATGATGACAATGGTTCTTCATGCATACCACCTCACATGCAAAGCCTACACTTGTTTCAGTTCGGTTTTACCTGTAAAGGTATGCTAGGCATAACATAGTAACAGACAAAATGTCCGGCTGAGTAGTTAAATTGCACCAATGAATCTAAAAAGTCAACTTTCTCTTCTAAATGGGACCGGAGGGAGTAATAGTTAGTTCTGGATATGTTTTGGTGCAATTTAAATTTTGCTTACCCCATTTAACTGTAAATATGCATATAATTTTGTGCTGTGTGCTTACGTGAAAGAACTACAGGATAGCTCTTTTATATGTGGCAGAGTAACCAACCGGTAGCTCATTCTTTGATGATACTGACTTTGGCCAAACTATAGCTCCATGTCTTTGTGTATGTTGTCTCATTGGGTTTTATCTTCCAGGGAGATGGTGGTTTATTTTGTGGGCTTCATGTTGACAATGGTCGTATTGCTGGAAAAATGAAAACGGCACTGAGGTAGGTTATTGAGAAGTATCGTTTGAATGTTAGGTTAACTCCAAATCAGAACATCATATTGACTGATATTCGCGCTGCATGGGAACGCCCCATCACAACCATTCTTTCTCAGGCTGGTCTGCTGGTAATGTTCACAGCTTAATTCTTACCGATTAATAGATAATACCCTTGCCCTGATTGATTATATTAAGCTATATTTGTTAATAAAATATGGAATTTGCTTATTCCTGTGCGGTTGGTTGACATTGTTTATTTACCCCACACTGTGTCATAGGTCATATTTAGTATTTTAATCTTTTCAACACGGTGCGGCGGCTTAGAACACGTAAATTGTGCTTACAAGTTCCACATTGTTATTGACTATTCCATTATGATACTTATAGGTATATAAATCTGATTCGCTGCTGCTTTTGTGATGAACTATTTTTTACTGGGAATGTTTTCCACTGACTTTTGACTAATGCTTATATATAAGGAATTATGGAAATCAATTTCTCGAGATAATCTAAGTTACCCTAAGTTACTCTTTAGCCACAATCAATCAATTTGTTGCAAGATATTTTAAAATAGTCTGACATAAATTTACTTTATTATAATTTATATATGGTTGAACATTAGTCAATTTCTTTAAGATCACTTTTACTTGAGATCATGCTAATTGTTAGTTTTTTTTCCTTCTTTTTTTCCCTATTACTTTTCTTTCCCCTTTCTATAATATTCCTGTTTTTCAGTGTATATTATTCTTATTTCATTTGTCATTGTTAGACCTCTAATAACTCTGTTTTGCTGTGAATAGGAACCTTATGTAGACCCCCTTAATATAAGGGCTATGGCATGCCCTGCTTTCCCATTATGTCCCCTGACAATTACCGAAGCTGAACGTGGAATACCAAGTATTCTTAAGCGGATTCGTGACATGTTTGAGAAGGTATTGCTGCCAGATAAAAATCTAATTCTGAAGTATATGACATTATTGATTTGATGGAAATCACTAATTAAGAAACTTTCTGTTTATCTCATCCCAATTCAGGTTGGTCTGAAGCATAATGAATCTGTGGTTGTAAGGATAACTGGCTGCCCTAATGGTTGTGCTAGACCATATATGGCTATATATGGCTGAACTAGGACTGGTTGGTGACGGCCCAAATAGCTATCAGGTTTGTTAATCAGTGGTTCAACCCAATTACGGTTAGTTGAAAATTCTAGAAGTCCACCTTGATCATATCTCTCCTTCTTTCTTCCCGGATCCTGATATAGATTTGGCTTGGAGACAGCAGTAACCAAACATCAATAGCCGTGTCTAATGAATTAAATAAAAATAATTGTAAAAGAAAAACTTTAAAATGACTTTTTTTTGCGTTTGAATAACCTCGGTTTTGTCAAGGCTAGTTAGCCTCGGTGTCGGTGGCCGAGGCTAAACTCGCAGCTAAAATAAAGTTTTCTATTAGTGATGCATCTGATAACCATAAGCACAAGGGACAAACTCTAATCCATGATCTTTGCATCTTCCATTGAAACAAACCTGCGAAAGAAGTGAAAACCCTAATACATTATGTAAACCCTAATTCTCCATGACCTCTGATCCCAATGACAAGCCTTGAAGTTAATGAATGCATAATGTGTTTAATAACCTAATAAAGTGTATGTACACGAGGAACATAATATGCATAAACTATAAGATTTGAATGAAAAAGTATGACAAATTTGAGGTATGACTAGGAAAAGAACATATTATTAACTTTTTTTTCAAATTAGAAAATAGAATAATTATATTAAATTATTTTTAATACATATTAAATTCTCTCTAATCACTATTAAAAGTAAATATTTATTTTTCAAATTTATTAAATAACTATTTATATTTAAGACCAAATACATCATTTAATAAATTTTAAACATAGAAAATTGATTACAAAGAATATTTAAAATAGTTATATTATATATTATAATATGAATTAAAAAAATACTTTTGACTTAGAATACATGTCTGTATAAAATATAATTCTTTTATAATAATATTTTAAATATGCATTCAATTAAATTATTTAACAATACAATTTTTAAAAATATCTAAAAATATTTATGTGACATAATTTAATTAAATATACATATAAAAGAAAATATTTCACATAAATTAGTCCATCAATCACATCCTTTAACGTAGAGGTGACAATTGGATTCATTAAGATAAAATCTATTCAATCCATCTATCAAAAAATTCATCCAATCTATCCGCCAAATAAAAAGTAAGTTAATGGATTAGATGGATTATGAATTGATTCAATCCATCCAATATATTTTAAGAATTCAATGAATTATTTTTATTTTTGTTAGATTTATTTATAAAAAAAATTAAAAATAAATTGTTTTAAAGAAAAGAATTAATTTTTTTCCAAAAAATATCCGAAGCTTTTCCAAAAAAACAAATCTTTTTTCAAGAAAAAAAAGTCAATTTTTTTTTTGAAAAAAAAAACAATTTTTTTCATAAATAAAAAACCAAAATTTTTAAAAATAATAAACCAATTTTTTCTGTAAAAAAACAACTTTTTTTTTATAAAAAAAACCAATCGAATTCATCCATCCATTTTTTCTTCAAAAATAAATAAAAAAATACATTTATCTTTTTGAAATAAAAAAAAAACTGAATAAAGGAATATTCATCCATTAAAAATATATTAATTGATGAATTAGATGAATTTTATTTTTAACGGTTAATAACTTAATAGATTATTTTGATTCATCCATTAACAATCGAATTCATCCATCCATTTTATCACTTCTACCTTGAAGATAGCTTAAAAAAACAATTTCAACCATCTAAAATTAAAAATCCGAATTCATCCATCTATTTTATCACTTCTACCTTGAAGATAGTTTAAAAAACAGTTTCAACCATCTAAAATTAAAAATCCAAAACAAACATTTTCCAGTTTTAGCACCGTTTCTAAAAATAAAAAAAGAATAATGCTAAATTAAAGAATATTATTTTGGAAATTATGTACAAATTTTAATTAAAATATAAAATTAATTTTTAAATTGTTTTTTCTAATACAAATTTATTATAAATAAAACTCTTGCTTCAAAAGAACAAGTTAGTATTATCTATAAAAAAAATTAGCAGCAAAAAGAAGGAGCGTGGTGCGTGAGCGCGTACGTCAGTCCAGTCCCGTGGTTAGCACGTGACTGCGCACGCTCACACAAAAAAAGACAAAACCAATTTTGCCTTCGCCTTTTGAGTCAATCGAACAATACAATTTTCATTTCACTGCTAGTGCTAGATAGGAGTATACTGTATAAAATTGTGTTAATGTTAATTGAATACTCATAAGCAGATATTATTTGCGTAAGAAGAATCTAATACTAGCACTCACTCACACACACTGTGCTCACTCTTTCTCAGAAACGACGCTACCGAAAACCCTGTTCTCTGCCTCATGACGACGTCGTTCGCAGCAGCGGCGCTCAGAGACCCTAAGCTTCAGATCCCGACCTACCATGGCTTTCGGTCTTCATCCACTGCATCTTCCCTCTCTCGCAATGCTCTCTCCGTCCCTTCATCCACTCGCTCCTCCTCCCTCATACGCGCTGTTTCCACTGTTCGTATTCATCTTCTCACCTTTCGCTTTCCTTTTTAAGCTTCTTCAATTAATCTCTGATTATTAATTATCCACTTTCGTTTATTGAATTGACAGCTCCGTTAATTATATTTTTTAAATTCATGTAATGTTCTTTAATTTTATATTTTGTATAATTAATTATAGGTAACTAGATTTTGAATTGTGGAATTTGAATTTCATTTTCATGAGTTTGTTATGAATTTCTTCTTAAGTTGTTGTTGTTGTTGTTGATGATATGATGCTGTGGTTGGATTTTTATTTCTTTGTAGCCTGCAAAGTCTGAAACTGCTACTGAGAAGAAGAGAAGCAAAGTTGAGATATTCAAGGAACATAGCAATTTCATAAGGGATCCTCTTAACGAGGATATGTCGAATGATGCGCCGAATTTAAGCGAAGCGGGAACACAGTTGATCAAGTTTCATGGTAGTTATCAACAGTACAACAGAGATGAGCGTGGTTCGAGAACCTATTCGTTTATGATACGAACGAAGAACCCTTGTGGTAAAGTTTCAAACCAGCTTTACTTGACTATGGATGATCTTGCTGATCAGTTTGGAATTGGGACCCTACGTTTGACTACTAGACAAACGTTTCAGCTGCATGGTGTTGTTAAGAAGGATCTTAAAATGGTTATGGGTGCTATTATTAGAAATATGGGCTCGAGTCTCGGTGCCTGTGGTGATCTTAATCGGAATGTGCTGGCTCCTGCTGCTCCTATTGTGAGGAAAGATTATCTCTTTGCTCAAGAAACAGCAGAGAATATTGCTGCACTTTTGACTCCTCAATCTGGTTTTTACTATGATGTTTGGGTAGATGGGGAAAGTTTTAAGTCAGCAGAACCGCCTGAGGTAGTTCAGGCACGAAATGACAATTCTCATGGTACAAACTTCACAGATTCACCTGAGCCCATTTATGGAACTCAGTTCTTGCCGAGGAAATTCAAAATTGCAGTTACTGTGCCGACTGATAACTCCGTGGATATTCTCACAAATGATATTGGTGTTGTTGTTGTTACTGGTGATGGTGGGGAGCCTCAAGGATTCAATCTTTATGTAAGACTTATTTAAATGGCAATTCATTTAAAGTTTTTTCTGCCATCAGTCTAACTGGGATTTTGCAATCATTTTTGCAGGTTGGTGGGGGGATGGGAAGAACACATAGGATGGAAATCACTTTTCCCCGCTTGGCTGAACCATTGGGTTACGTGCCAAAAGAGGATATTTTGTATGCAGTGAAAGCAATTGTCGTTACACAACGAGAAAATGGGAGAAGAGATGACCGCAGGTATAGTAGAATGAAATATCTGATTGACTCTTGGGGAATAGATAAGTTCAGAAATGTAGTTGAGCAATATTATGGCAAGAAGTTCGAACCCTTCCGCAGCTTGCCAGAATGGGAATTTAAAAGTTATCTTGGGTGGCATCAGCAGGTTGGTTCTCCAGACGAGTGAATAGTATCAATGTGTTTATGCTTGCTTGTAGGTATACTATTATTGTTTGGTGATGCGCTCCATTCGTAGTTACATAAACTTCCATGCGATTAGAAAGTTGGTGGATAGGCTTTTGACATTTTTAATGTCTTTTCATGGATTTAATAGCTGATATGATGACAATGGTTCTTCATGCATACCACCTCACATGCAAAGCCTACACTTGTTTCAGTTCGGTTTTACCTGTAAAGGTATGCTAGGCATAACATAGTAACAGACAAAATGTCCGGCTGAGTAGTTAAATTGCACCAATGAATCTAAAAAGTCAACTTTCTCTTCTAAATGGGACCGGAGGGAGTAATAGTTAGTTCTGGATATGTTTTGGTGCAATTTAAATTTTGCTTACCCCATTTAACTGTAAATATGCATATAATTTTGTGCTGTGTGCTTACGTGAAAGAACTACAGGATAGCTCTTTTATATGTGGCAGAGTAACCAACCGGTAGCTCATTCTTTGATGATACTGACTTTGGCCAAACTATAGCTCCATGTCTTTGTGTATGTTGTCTCATTGGGTTTTATCTTCCAGGGAGATGGTGGTTTATTTTGTGGGCTTCATGTTGACAATGGTCGTATTGCTGGAAAAATGAAAACGGCACTGAGGTAGGTTATTGAGAAGTATCGTTTGAATGTTAGGTTAACTCCAAATCAGAACATCATATTGACTGATATTCGCGCTGCATGGGAACGCCCCATCACAACCATTCTTTCTCAGGCTGGTCTGCTGGTAATGTTCACAGCTTAATTCTTACAGATTAATAGATAATACCCTTGCCCTGATCGTTTATATTAAGCTATATTTGTTAATAAAATATGGAATTTGCTTATTCCTGTGCGGTTGGTTGACATTGTTTATTTACCCCACACTGTGTCATAGGTCATATTTAGTATTTTAATCTTTTCAACACGGTGCGGCGGCTTAGAACACGTAAATTGTGCTTACAAGTTCCACATTGTTATTGACTATTCCATTATGATAGGGATATCCATTTGTATCTTATAGGTATTTATAAATCTGATTAGCTGCTGCTTTTGTGATGAACTATTTTTTACTGGGAATGTTTTCCACTGACTTTTGACTAATCCTTATATATAAGGAATTATGGAAATCAATTTCTCGAGATAATCTAAGTTACCCTAAGTTACTCTTTAGCCACAATCAATCAATTTGTTGCAAGATATTTTAAAATAGTCTGACATAAATTTACTTTATTATAATTTATATATGGTTGAACATTAGTCAATTTCTTTAAGATCACTTTTACTTGAGATCATGCTAATTGTGAGTTTTTTTTCCTTCTTTTTTTCCCTATTACTTTTCTTTCCCCTTTCTATAATATTCCTGTTTTTCAGTGTATATTATTCTTATTTCATTTGTCATTGTTAGACCTCTAATAACTCTGTTTTGCTGTGAATAGGAACCTTATGTAGACCCCCTTAATATAAGGGCTATGGCATGCCCTGCTTTTCCATTATGTCCCCTGGCAATTACCGAAGCTGAACGTGGAATACCAAGTATTCTTAAGCGGATCCGTGACATGTTTGAGAAGGTATTGCTGCCAGATAAAAATCTAATTCTGAAGTATATGACATTATTGATTTGATGGAAATCACTAATTAAGAAACTTTCTGTTTATCTCATCCCAATTCAGGTTGGTCTGAAGCATAATGAATCTGTGGTTGTAAGGATAACTGGCTGCCCTAATGGTTGTGCTAGACCATATATGGCTCTATATGGCTGAACTAGGACTGGTTGGTGACGGCCCAAATAGCTATCAGGTTTGTTAATCAGTGGTTCAACCCAATTACGGTTAGTTGAAAATTCTAGAAGTCCACCTTGATCATATCTCTCCTTCTTTCTTCCCGGATCCTGATATAGATTTGGCTTGGAGACAGCAGTAACCAAACATCAATAGCCGTGTCTAATGAATTAAATAAAAATAATTGTAAAAGAAAAACTTTAAAATGACTTTTTTTTGCGTTTGAATAACCTCGGTTTTGTCAAGGCTAGTTAGCCTCGGTGTCGGTGGCCGAGGCTAAACTCGCAGCTAAAATAAAGTTTTCTATTCGTGATTCATCTGATAACCATAAGCACAAGGGACAAACTCTAATCCATGATCTTTGCATCTTCCATTGAAACAAACCTGCGAAAAAAGTGAAAACCCTAATACATTATGTAAACCCTAATTCTCCATGACCTCTGATCCCAATGACAAGCCTTGAAGTTAATGAATGCATAATGTGTTTAATAACCTAATAAAGTGTATGTACACGAGGAACATAATATGCATAAACTATAAGATTTGAATGTAAAAGTATGACAAATTTGAGGTATGACTAGGAAAAGAACATATTATTAACTTTTTTTTCAAATTATAAAATAGAATAATTATATTAAATTATTTTTAATACATATTAAATTCTCTCTAATCACTATTAAAAGTAAATATTTATTTTTCAAATTTATTAAATAACTATTTATATTTAAGACCAAATACATCATTTAATAAATTTTAAACATAGAAAATTGATTACAAAGAATATTTAAAATAGTTATATTATATATTATAATATGAATTAAAAAAATACTTTTGACTTAGAATACATGTCTGTATAAAATATAATTCCTTTATAATAATATTTTAAATATGCATTCAATTAAATTATTTAACAATACACTTTTTAAAAATATCTAAAAATATTTATGTGACATAATTTAATTAAATATACATATAAAAGAAAATATTTCACATAAATTAGTCCATCAATCACATCCTTTAACGTAGAGGTGACAATTGGATTCATTAAGATAAAATCTATTCAATCCATCTATCAAAAAATTCATCCAATCTATCCGCCAAATAAAAAGTAAGTTAATGGATTAGATGGATTATGAATTGATTCAATCCATCCAATATATTTTAAGAATTCAATGAATTATTTTATTTTTGTTAGATTTATTTATAAAAAAAATTAAAAATAAATTGTTTGAAAGAAAAGAATTAATTTTTTTCTAAAAAATATCCGAAGCTTTTCCAAAAAAACAAATCTTTTTTCATGAAAAAAAAGTCAATTTTTTTTTTGAAAAAAAAAACAATTTTTTTCATAAATAAAAAACCAAAATTTTTAAAAATAATAAACCAATTTTTTCTGTAAAAAAACAACTTTTTTTTTATAAAAAAAACCAATCGAATTCATCCATCCATTTTTTCTTCAAAAATAAATAAAAAAATACATTTATCTTTTTGAAATAAAAAAAAAACTGAATAAAGGAATATTCATCCATTAAAAATATATTAATTGATAAATTAGATGAATTTTATTTTTAACGGTTAATAACTTAATAGATTATTTTGATTCATCCATTAACAATCGAATTCATCCATCCATTTTATCACTTCTACCTTGAAGATAGCTTAAAAAAACAATTTCAACCATCTAAAATTAAAAATCCGAATTCATCCATCTATTTTATCACTTCTACCTTGAAGATAGTTTAAAAAACAGTTTCAACCATCTAAAATTAAAAATCCAAAACAAACATTTTCCAATTTTAGCACCGTTTCTAAAAATAAAAAAAGAATAATGCTAAATTAAAGAATATTATTTTGGAAATTATGTACAAATTTTAATTAAAATATAAAATTAATTTTTAAATTGTTTTTTCTAATACAAATTTATTATAAATAAAACTCTTGCTTCAAAAGAACAAGTTAGTATTATCTATAAAAAAAATTAGCAGCAAAAAGAAGGAGCGTGGTGCGTGAGCGCGTACGTCAGTCCAGTCCCGTGGTTAGCACGTGACTGCGCACGCTCACACAAAAAAAGACAAAACCAATTTTGCCTTCGCCTTTTGAGTCAATCGAACAATACAATTTTCATTTCACTGCTAGTGCTAGATAGGAGTATACTGTATAAAATTGTGTTAATGTTAATTGAATACTCATAAGCAGATATTATTTGCGTAAGAAGAATCTAATACTAGCACTCACTCACACACACTGTGCTCACTCTTTCTCAGAAACGAGGCTACCGAAAACCCTGTTCTCTGCCTCATGACGACGTCGTTCGCAGCAGCGGCGCTCAGAGACCCTAAGCTTCAGATCCCGACCTACCATGGCTTTCGGTCTTCATCCACCGCATCTTCCCTCTCTCGCAATTCTCTCTCCGTCCCTTCATCCACTCGCTCCTCCTCCCTCATACGCGCTGTTTCCACTGTTCGTATTCATCTTCTCACCTTTCGCTTTCCTTTTTAAGCTTCTTCAATTAATCTCTGATTATTAATTATCCACTTTCGTTTATTGAATTGACAGCTCCGTTAATTATATTTTTTAAATTCATGTAATGTTCTTTAATTTTATATTTTGTATAATTAATTATAGGTAACTAGATTTTGAATTGTGGAATTTGAATTTCATTTTCATGAGTTTGTTATGAATTTCTTCTTAAGTTGTTGTTGTTGTTGTTGATGATATGATGCTGTGGTTGGATTTTTATTTCTTTGTAGCCTGCAAAGTCTGAAACTGCTACTGAGAAGAAGAGAAGCAAAGTTGAGATATTCAAGGAACATAGCAATTTCATAAGGGATCCTCTTAACGAGGATATGTCGAATGATGCGCCGAATTTAAGCGAAGCGGGAACACAGTTGATCAAGTTTCATGGTAGTTATCAACAGTACAACAGAGATGAGCGTGGTTCGAGAACCTATTCGTTTATGATACGAACGAAGAACCCTTGTGGTAAAGTTTCAAACCAGCTTTACTTGACTATGGATGATCTTGCTGATCAGTTTGGAATTGGGACCCTACGTTTGACTACTAGACAAACGTTTCAGCTGCATGGTGTTGTTAAGAAGGATCTTAAAATGGTTATGGGTGCTATTATTAGAAATATGGGCTCGAGTCTCGGTGCCTGTGGTGATCTTAATCGGAATGTGCTGGCTCCTGCTGCTCCTATTGTGAGGAAAGATTATCTCCTTGCTCAAGAAACAGCAGAGAATATTGCTGCACTTTTGACTCCTCAATCTGGTTTTTACTATGATGTTTGGGTAGATGGGGAAAGTTTTAAGTCAGCAGAACCGCCTGAGGTAGTTCAGGCACGAAATGACAATTCTCATGGTACAAACTTCACAGATTCACCTGAGCCCATTTATGGAACTCAGTTCTTGCCGAGGAAATTCAAAATTGCAGTTACTGTGCCGACTGATAACTCCGTGGATATTCTCACAAATGATATTGGTGTTGTTGTTGTTACCGGTGATGGTGGGGAGCCTCAAGGATTCAATCTTTATGTAAGACTTATTTAAATGGCAATTCATTTAAAGTTTTTTCTGCCATCAGTCTAACTGGGATTTTGCAATCATTTTTGCAGGTTGGTGGGGGGATGGGAAGAACACATAGGATGGAAATCACTTTTCCCCGCTTGGCTGAACCATTGGGTTACGTGCCAAAAGAGGATATTTTGTATGCAGTGAAAGCAATTGTCGTTACACAACGAGAAAATGGGAGAAGAGATGACCGCAGGTATAGTAGAATGAAATATCTGATTGACTCTTGGGGAATAGATAAGTTCAGAAATGTAGTTGAGCAATATTATGGCAAGAAGTTCGAACCCTTCCGCAGCTTGCCAGAATGGGAATTTAAAAGTTATCTTGGGTGGCATCAGCAGGTTGGTTCTCCAGACGAGTGAATAGTATCAATGTGTTTATGCTTGCTTGTAGGTATACTATTATTGTTTGGTGATGCGCTCCATTCGTAGTTACATAAACTTCCATGCGATTAGAAAGTTGGTGGATAGGCTTTTGACATTTTTAATGTCTTTTCATGGATTTAATAGCTGATATGATGACAATGGTTCTTCATGCATACCACCTCACATGCAAAGCCTACACTTGTTTCAGTTCGGTTTTACCTGTAAAGGTATGCTAGGCATAACATAGTAACAGACAAAATGTCCGGCTGAGTAGTTAAATTGCACCAATGAATCTAAAAAGTCAACTTTCTCTTCTAAATGGGACCGGAGGGAGTAATAGTTAGTTCTGGATATGTTTTGGTGCAATTTAAATTTTGCTTACCCCATTTAACTGTAAATATGCATATAATTTTGTGCTGTGTGCTTACGTGAAAGAACTACAGGATAGCTCTTTTATATGTGGCAGAGTAACCAACCGGTAGCTCATTCTTTGATGATACTGACTTTGGCCAAACTATAGCTCCATGTCTTTGTGTATGTTGTCTCATTGGGTTTTATCTTCCAGGGAGATGGTGGTTTATTTTGTGGGCTTCATGTTGACAATGGTCGTATTGCTGGAAAAATGAAAACGGCACTGAGGTAGGTTATTGAGAAGTATCGTTTGAATGTTAGGTTAACTCCAAATCAGAACATCATATTGACTGATATTCGCGCTGCATGGGAACGCCCCATCACAACCATTCTTTCTCAGGCTGGTCTGCTGGTAATGTTCACAGCTTAATTCTTACAGATTAATAGATAATACCCTTGCCCTGATTGATTATATTAAGCTATATTTGTTAATAAAATATGGAATTTGCTTATTCCTGTGCGGTTGGTTGACATTGTTTATTTACCCCACACTGTGTCATAGGTCATATTTAGTATTTTAATCTTTTCAACACGGTGCGGCGGCTTAGAACACGTAAATTGTGCTTACAAGTTCCACATTGTTATTGACTATTCCATTATGATAGGGATATCCATTTGTATCTTATAGGTATTTATAAAT